GAATTCAAAAATTGAAACAATTTTCCAATAGCAAATTTTGTAAAAAAAAAAAAAAAAAAAAAAAAAAATTTTTTTTAATTTAAAAAAAAAAAAAAATTTTCAAAAAAAAAATTTTTAAAAAAAAAAAAAAAAAAAAAAAAAAATTCTTGTAGCTTTTGTGGCTCTAAGCTAATTTTGTTTAGCTGATGGCAAAAATGACATTTTTGCTTAAAAAACTCACTGAACCCTAATCTAGACTGACAAATTAGAAAACAAGAACTACTTGAACAAGCCATTTACAAAGTGATAATGTTTTTTTTTTTTTTTTTCTGTGAAAGAATTTCATCTGAACCGAGACTCATTTTAAAACCAACTCCCTTTCAGCGCGGGCTTTATTTCCTATTGATTTAATTTCAAACAGTTAAAGAAAAACCTGTAGAGAAACAAACACCTCTGTGCGTGCATGCAGCTACGCGCCACTGCACAAAGAGAGAGCGGATGTGAGAGCCGTACTGCGGAGGCCTGGGGATCATCTGGCTGTTATCACTGCTGCCCACTGTTTAATCCTCTGGCAGGTACGGGACAGGATGGGAGGCTTCGCCAGCAACAGCAGTCAAGCAGGAGGATGAGTGTCCAGAGAGGGGAGGCCGCGGACAGGTGCAAAGGTACCGACATGTTTTCAAATCAACCTCACCGTTAGCTTTACAGCTCGTTAATCTAATCGCTGTTGGTTCTTACCTTCATTGGCCGTGTTGTCCTGTGTAAAGCTTTCAAGATTTTTCTAGCAAAGACTAGAATTGCAAAAAAGAAGATCCTAGAAACCAAAAAAGAAAAAACTATTTTTTTTCAAGGTTTTTACACTGAGAGTGCGTTTGTTTTACACGGGCATGAAGGACATTTTGAAAAGCAAATTTACTTTGGAAACAAAGTCACACTTATCCTGGCTTTGGCTTGCAACCGATGAAACATTGCTCTCTAAAGCTCTAAATGTGAATGGACTCTCTCCACAATGCATGCATGAGACCTAATTTAAACGTGGGCCAACCTTATCAGCTCTTTTGTAAATATTACACTGGCATGCAGGCCTTTCGAGGGAACCAGAACAGCCATGGGTGCAAGTAAACAAAGAAAGAAACTGAGAAAATGACTAAATAAAGTTTTTATCACATCAATTAGCTTATCGGAATAGATTAGATATAGGTAACAAAATCCTTCTTGTAAAGAAAAAAAATATATATTATCTATATTTTCCACAATTCCCCATTTAAATGTGAATTAAAATGTAATGAAAGAAGCATACAGAATCAGATTTACATGAAATTTTCCAAAAACAAATAAAAAATTCAGTTGATCTCGTACCGAAAGCATCACTAAGAACGGTATTTAAAGGCACAGATGTTTCATTCGGACACTTCGGATGCTCCTCTGCACATCAACTGAGACTGCATGTCATTCTGATGGTGAATATTTAAGGTTCAGTCTACCGTTGTGTATTGTACGCAAGTTATGATTGAATCGGCCCACTTCATTTATTATTTCATCTAGTTGAGCTTTTCCACTCCTAAAAGGTGCGATTCAAATGTGTCCTTGGAAAATTTCTAATAAGAAAAACATACCACACCAACTTTTACTTTTTAGTGCCACGAAGCAATTATCCTGCCGATACGCTCTCGCTGTATCTTAATCTGATCTGCTTTAATGAAGGAGGACGTGAAACAGGCTAAATTGCCTTTTTGGACATTTCTCCAAAGACTTTCATGTTAATCTCTCGCTGTACTTTCTTAAAACCACTTCAAAATGTGAGTATCAGCCTTGTGTTAGAGCAACCTGGTTTCCCCTAAAATGTCTTTTTGTTTTGTTAAAAACATGTTAGCTCTTCAGCTAAGAGGATGAAACTCCACACCCAAGTCATGCCCTTTGGTTTTTACCTTGTTACTGGCTGGTGGTGGTTTTGGATGTGGGACGGGGTTGGGTCGGTGCAGCAGGGATGTCCAGTGAAAGATCAGAGGCTCTGCTCTTTGTGTTTTATACATGTCCTCTACAACTATTTTTGGGATGAAAAATGGGCTCCCAGTCGTGATGTTCCACCGCCGTATCGCTTTCCAGCCCGGCTCATGCTAATCAAACATTACTATTAATAATCGTCCATCTCCACCCCCACCGTCTTTCCAGACAGACTTATTGGGCCCCTCCTCTGCTCTGTTTTCTCCTCCTCATTTTCTCACACCGCCTCCCACCCGGGGGACCTTGCTTTGTCCTCTGTTCCGCCTCGCCTCTGATCTCGTCTTCTTTTCTGCTCCTCTCTCTCTTAAACTTTTAATTTTCACTTTTAATTTCCATCAAACACTTGTTCCTTTAAGGCACTTGGTAACATGGGTGAATAATTACAAGACCTTGCTCCATCTTTCTTCTTTTTTTAATGTCCCCCTCAGACTCAAAGTGTAAGAATGAAGAGATGCGTCTTAAAATGAACTGGAGTTTCTGGAGTTAAATCTGATGTGGTGAAAGATGTTTAAGATTGCTTACAAAGATCCAACCTTGACTCGTAAAGAAAAGACAAAAATACTTTGCCAGTCTGCCATCTGGTCATAGATCCTCACATTATAATAACCTCAAGTAATTCCCACAAAAGTATCAAATATATTCATAAGTACATTTATTTCCAGTT